CCCCAAAACCCCAAAACCCCAAAACCCCTAGCTCTAGTTTATTTGATTATGAAATTATAGGGTAAAATATTTTCCAGCGCTTTAAATTTTAATTTTCAAAGCATTGTATTTATCTAGAAAGTTTCTTCTTGGTCTTGATTTTTATTTCCGTTTTACAATCTTTGATTATGGTCATCTTGAACATTAATTTCATTTAATTCTTCGTCTTCACTCTCATACTCATCACTAGATTCTTCTTCGTCATCTGATTATTCTTGATCTCTTAATTTCTCTATTTCCCTTTGCTCTTTCCTTTACTATTTCCTTTTCTCTTGTATTTCTAATAACTTCTGTTCTTTCTTCTCCTTTTTCTCAATCAATATCTATTTATCTTAAAATTTGCTTGAAGTTGCTCCACTAATGCCTATTAGACATTATAGCATTTTCCCTTTCAATTCAACTTTTTCGTTTACCTCCTCAACTGCCTTTTATGCAGACTCCGGATTAGTAAACTCAATGAAGCATCTTCCTTTGTTGAAAGTCATGCCCTCTGCTCTGAGGAGGTCTATATTACTAGGAAAGTTAAAGAAATGTGTGTACATTAACTAAGTATTACATAATTTCACCATGTTGTCCAAAGATTTTATCTAAATCAGATTCATGAGCTTGTTCTGTGATGTTCCACACGAATATTGTCCTTTTATCTTTTTCCGCCTTGAAAAAAATACATTTAAACAAATTTTAATGGTACCTATTCCTAATCATTATTGCCTTGCAAGTTAATATCATTCTTCATTTCTAGTTCTTGAATTCCTACTATCTAAATTTTATTCTCTTTCTAAATCTAATGCTGCAATTCTTCTTATAACTCATCTTCAATTATTTCTAGAAAATGAAATTAACAAAAATTCTTATCATACTTCATTATCTCTCTTCTTCTAGCTTTCGATTTTACATGTAGAGTTCATCATCTTCATCTACCTCAAATTAATTTTAATCAATAAGCTTGCTCTCCTTTATAAGTTTCTGCAAATTTTCATCATCTGATAGATCAGCCTAAAATTTTATCCGATTATTTAAAGCTAGATCTTAAAGACTTACATCACTATCATCCTCATCTTCATCTAACTCCTCTTACCATTTTTTGACTTATTTTTATTCTTTTTAGTCTCTTAGCTTTCTTTTACCCAGCATTTTTATAATTACATTCTTACTTTCGTAAAAAGATGCAAATCTCATTCGAATGGGGTTTTGGGGTTTTGGGGTTTTGGGG